GAAATAAAATAGGGAATAAAGTTTTGACCTAATGCTCAAAACACCCCTTGGAGGCATTTAGCAGCATTTAGTTCTTTTTTATTTTATTTTTTTTATTTTAGGGAAAGAAAGAGAGTAAGCAGGGGAAAGGGACAGAGGAAGAGAGAGAGAATCTCAAGCAGGCTTCATCCTCAGCGCAGAGCCCGGCTGCGGGACACCACCATGGGATCAAGACCTGAGTTGAAATCGAGTCAGCTGAGCCACCCAGGCACCCTAGGCGGTGCCCACTCCTGACTCATTTTGGAAGCTTCAGAGACAACAGCCGACCTTCTCATGTCAGTGGTTCTAAGGGGACACAAAGGTGGAAGGGTAGTTATCTGGGAAGAAGCCTCAGGAAGGTGAAAGGAGGTCCCTGTTGATCATGGCTGGTCACAGCCCTTAGGGATACAGCCACGTCTCCAACTGACCACAGGCTTGGCTGTTAAGCCCAATGAGTTGAGATGACAAAAAGCATGGAGTCACTTCTGCTCCTCTCCACACCTCAGCCTCTTGCCCATCTCCTTAATAATCCCCATCACCAATATCAGCAGGGTCATTAATTTAATGGGTTAGACCCAAGTGCTCCATGGGCCATATTTTATTAGTGAGAGAGTTTCCTATGACTTAACAGGGAGCCCCCGTGCATTGCACTCATATTCTTGCTTCAGTAATATACAAGAGCAAAACAGGGCTGGTCTCTCAGGAGAAGTTCTGAGCAGATTGTTCGTCTTTTCTTGTTTTTTTTTATTTGTTTGTTTGTTTGTTTGTTTTTTGATTTTCAGTTAATAAGTAAGTAGAGCCAGAACTTCCAGACCTGGTCACCTTCTCTCCTATCTTGGTATAGGCACATTGGGCAGGCTCCCCTCAAGATGGAGAACTACAAAATTGAAAGGCTTTTGCCAGACGTCATTGCACTGGGTTTGAATATATTTTTTTAATATTTGTTTATTTTTGAGAGAGACAGAGACAGAGAGAGAGAGAGAGGTAGCATGAGCAAGGGACAGAGAGGGGGACAGAGGATCTGAAGCAGGCTCTGTACTGACAGCAGAGAGCCCGATGCAGGGCTCGAAGTGACGAACCCATGAGGTCAAGACCTGAGCCAAAGTTAGACACTCAACCGACTGAGCCATTGAGGCACCCCTGCACTGGGTTTAGTGGGGTTTGCATAGCTACCATAAAGAAGTTATTTGATTCCCATTATGCTATTAGGAGCTTTGTGTAAAACTCCATCCAAAACCCCACGGAGGGGAGAGCCAGTACAATTTGAGCATTCCTTGGTCCCTACCCATCCCCCTTCACACCGCTCTCCCAGGTCTAATTTACATCTGCTAAGGTGCCGATCACAAGCCTATCTCCTAACAATCAGTGTGTATCAAATAACTAAATGAAGAACAGAAGGGTACCATTGCTGGCATTATCATTAGCCATTCCTTCGTTCTGCACAAATCTCAGTCAAGGTCTTCACAAAGGCTGATGGCCACGAACAGGTGTAACAATGACAGTGAGCGTCTGTGCAGCGAAGATGAATAATGGCTCACTTACTCTTCCCAACAACCTCACAGAGAGGTGGGCATATAATAAGCTTTTCCCAGTGAGCAAACTGAAGCTGAGAGGGGCCAAAGAACTTGGCCAAGGTAATACAGACGGTGTAGTGGCGAGTGTGGACTAAAACCCAGTCTTCTTATTCTAGTGTCACAGCTCATAATTCTATAATCCCAAATTTCTTTGGCATTTCTTATTTCTGAAATCAGAGGAAATAAGATATATGTTGATATGAGAATTATGCAGGAAAGGCAGTGTCACGAATGACAATAACAAAAATGAAAACAAAAAAGAGGAAATTCCCTAAAGAAGGGTAAGAAAGTTCTTCATAGAAGAATGCAGGATTGCAAAGCTACTTGAAACATAAACTAACCACCATTATTCTCAGCCTGTGAACTTCTACATCCTACACATTGAAGATTCCAAGAAAGACATATGTCATTCACACAGAACTGTACCCGTGTTGCCTTCGATAATCAACATCATTCACTGACAAGTAACTCTACACTGGATGCCCCTAATGCCTTGTCATCGTTAGCAGGAATTATGAGTGACACTAAAGACTTTTTTATTTTTATTTTTTTTTAATGTTTTATTTATTTTTGAGAGAGAGATAGAGACAGCATGAGCAGGGGAGGGTCAGAGAGAGAGGGAAACACAGAATCTGAAACAGGCTCCAGGCTCTGAGCAAGCTGTCAGCACAGAGCCCGACGCGGGGCTCGAACCCATGAACTGTGAGATCATGACCTGAGCCGACGTCGGACGCTTAACCAACTGAGCCACCCAGGCGTCCCTAAAGACTTTTTTAGATGCACAGTAATCCACTGGGCATTTCAAGTTCAGGCCTGCATCGTGCTTGGATTCATACAGTTTCCGGAGATACGGGGTCATTCTCTTATGTGTAGTATACGATGTATGACTCCGAAGGAATGATGCTCATTTTTGCTTATGTCTCTTCCTTCTGAGTAGCGCACAGAACACTGTGTGCATTCAATCTGTTACTGATTGTGATAATAATCTCAACTGATATTCAGTCACCAGAATCTAGCCCTTAATAGTAACAAATAAGCCAGTCAGCCTTTGGGGTTTTGAAATTTTATATTTGTTACATGATCAAAGGTCAAAGTTACCTCACTTTCACATGAAGGTTGTGAAGACTACTGACTAGCATTCGTGAGCATCCTCTTCAACATTTCCGAAAAGGTTTCTATCCACCTTGTCATATCACTTTGAAAAAGTCTTTGAGAACAAACGAAGCGAAAGGTATCGATGCATTGAACACGATGCTGCACTGCACAGAGTCCTTCCCAGCCATGAGTGGGTCCTCAAAGCAGCCCTATGGGATAGGACTCTTTCTTAAATCATAGTTCAAAATGGAGACACTGAGGTAAAGAGAAAGGTGTGGTCTGATGAATCAACAGATACAATGTTACAGAGGGGGCATGCATGGACCTCAAAAATGCACAGCTCCCCATCTGCAGATAAGAATCCTGCTACAGTGGGGACACGCCTTCACTCCATGACAGCAATGACCCCAGACGAGAGCATCATCATGTTAATAATGAAAATCCCATTACACAAGACATATACACAAAACAACAACAACAATGATAATAAAGTCTCAAATCTATGGGTATTCAAAGAGTCCCAAAGAACTCCTAGTTTGTTTTCTTTAAAACACACCTCATTTTCAATCCCTGGAATTCTCTCCCCTCTGACCTCTTCCTCCACAAAATGTTTATCCATGTTAAATGGTCAGTTATTCATTTCACTAAATTTGTTAAGGGCTACGTATTTCAGAAAAGTTTCAGGAATCTTGATGAAGAACCAAGATATAACAAAACCACACGCAACATGAGCTTTAAAACATACGTGCAGCATATAAACACCGGGTATTAGTTTAAGGCTTTTATGGAGAACTGAAGCTATCTGGTAATAACTCCCCAGAGGCACCAATCACATCCTGGGCTTTTTTTTATGAGTACAACAACAACAACAACAGCAAAACTCATTTAATATAGAATTTAAAATCTGGTCCTTTAACAAACAATCGTCCCTTCCAAGGCTTTCCCTTTGGATATTATCAGAAAAAAATGGCATCGGGGCGCCTGGGTGGCTTAGTCGGTTAAGCGTCCGACTTTCGCTTAGGTCATGATCTCGCGGTTCATGGGTTCAAGCCCCACGTCGGGCTCTGTGCTGACTGCCAGCTCAGAACCTGGAGCCTATTTCAGTCTGTGACTCCCTCTCTCTCTGACCCTCCCCTGTTCACGCTGTCTCTTTCTCTCTCTCTCTCTCTCTCTCTCCTAGAAATAAATAAAACATAAAAAAAAATTAAAAAAAAAAAAAGAAAAAAATGGCATCGATAAACTATTTTTTCTCCCTCACCACTACCCAAAAAGGACACTTCTTCCTCCAAAGAAGAGCGTTCTTCCCTTGAAAACCATGCAGAGGCTCTAAATGATTTGTTACTGCTCGGTAAAAACAACTTCAAATGTAAACTTCTTCGTTTTGATAAACAAAGAACGTGACACGGAAAAGAACTTCAGTGACTGGCCCAATCGCTTCTTTTTAGGAACAAAAACTAAGGCCCAGGGAGGGTAAGAGCTTTGTACAGAATCACATTCAGCTAATGGCAAGGCTAGGCTTGAGAAGGACCCAGTCATAGACACCTTCCCCCAGCCAGCGATGTGACCTTTCTTAGAATGTACTGGTTCGGGCCTCGCTTAGAGCACTGCATAAGGAAGAGACTGTTCACAGCTGGCATGTAAAGGCACTGGCTTCGGATAAAGGGGTAGCTGGTATCACGGGAGCCACCCTAAGTTTTGCCCGTATACCACACTGGGGACATGAGTATCGGGGACTCTCACTGTCCTCTGTAGCTTACGTCTTTCCACAATAAAGAGCACCAAAGCCATAACATGTTGGGCGGAAAGGGGCTTTAGTATTCTCTAAAAGCCTCCTCACCCTCACATGGGAAGACAATGCGAGCCAGTGTTCTCTCCTCGTCTTTCATGGAACTCTCTAGTAGAAGATGCCTCCAGGACAGCCAAGCCTTCTCCAGGACAGGATCAGAAATGACAGGGAACACTCACAAACCAGTGAGGCTGCCCACCATTATATCATCCTAAGAAAAAACAAGTCACCTTCAACACAACTGGGGTTCCTGGGGACATTCACTTCCACTCTCGCACTGATGGAAACAAACAGGGTGTCAGGCCCAGGTCCTATGATTATTATGCTGCTCTGCAGGGTAAGAGACGATTGAGAATGTCTCCCTGTTCAAAACACACAGGGAGAAGGCATGCCTTCAGAAGACATTCCACTTTGGGAGGAAAGCGGGGAAGGATGCAGGGCAAGGTGAAAAGAAGCAAAGAGAGGTATGAGAGTCACGAGAAGGCAGACGTGCATACGTTCTTCTGACTTGAAGAGTGAACGGCAGATAAAATCTACACAGCTTTTATTACTCGCTCACATCCCCAGAAACCAACAGATGGAATCTCTCATTGCCAAGTTCTAGTGCGTTTGTTCATGCTTAGCATCGGGACACCGGGCTTGCCAAATACTAATAAGCTGCAGACAGTGAGGTGAGTATCAAGAATCCACAGCTCCACCCTCTGCCTCCCTTGTGGTGAGGAAAGCACTCTCTCCCCACTAGCTCAGTGTCCACAGAAGGAGGCAGGTACATCAGCCACGGAAACTGAAGGCGACCAGTGTCCGTAAGAAGTATTTACTGTTTTAGTATAAAAAATATAGAGGTGACCTCTAAGGGTAATTCATATTGATTATCTGAGAGGGCTCATTCTGAGTACTCCAGCAATTAATCCTCAGCCTGAAGGATGGTCTACAAGGCAGCAACTGTATACGTGTATTAAGGCAACCTCGAAAATAAACCTCCAGAGGGCCCCGCTAGTCTCTATCGTTCTGATACTTGTAGAAATTAGTCCTTGAATACTAGGGCCCAGAAGTCTTGAGCTGAAAAATTTTTATTCCTATCAACCAGCCACCTTAGTGCCTGGGCTTCTTTCATGGACTGTTGAAAGCTCGGTATCCACATCTTCCTCAAGGAGCTCCAACGTGGAGCCAGAGGTGAGAAAGCAAACACCGTGGGCTCCGGGCAGCTCAGGTGGGTAACTTCCGCCTTCCAGCTTTTGGGTGGTAAGCCCTGCATTGGGAGAAAGGAGAAAAGAAGTAAAATTACATATAAGGGAGCACAAGTCCCCTGTCCCTGCCTCACAGTCACAGCACCCAACACGTACTTTTCCTTTGAAAGCAAGTATCTTCACTCCACGGTGAAACGAATAGTCTCGTGCCAAATATTTTTATGAGATTTCAGAACACAGAAAAGGAGGGAGAGACTCTACAACCTCCCTGAAAGGACACGTCTAATTCTGAGGATCAGAAGTGAGGATGGTTTTAGATTTCTTCACAGGGACACTGGAAGTTAAAAAGCAATGGTGGGACTAACTGATGAATGTTACCATTAGGGTGTAAACCTTTAGGGAAGAAAGGGAATACTTGCATAGCCTCAAAATATCTCCCCCTAGGGGTACCTGGGTGGCTCAGTCGGTTAAGCGTCCAACTTCGGCTCAGGTTATGATCTCACGGTTTGTGGGTTCGAGCCCCGCGTTGGGCTCTGTGCTGACAGCCAGCTCAGAGACTGGAGCTTGTTTCAGATTCTGTGTCTCCCTCTCTCTCTGACCCTCCCCTGTTCATGCTGTCTCTCTCTCTCTCAGAAATAAAACATGAAAAAAAAATAATTTAAAAAAATCCCCACCTAAAGGTTTATTCATTATTGTGGTGGTTTTAACAACTGTCCACAAACTGTGTGATATTCCTCTCTCAAGGAGGTGAAGCTTAATTCACCTCCCTTCGAGCATGGCCTGAACTTAGCAACTCGCTTAATAGAAAGGGAAAACTAGTAACCTCACAGAGGAAGCCACCTTAAACCAGTGATCACCTTAAACCAAGCAATCAAAGTTAACGTCACCAGTAATAGGTCACGTTGATGCCATGCAGCCCCTGATAAGATGTGATGAGAAAGGCCCTTTCACCACTGCTATATTATTCCCCCAAATCCATAGTCCAAGGTTTAGCAGGAGAAAACATCAGACAAACCCATGGAGGGACGGTCTACCAAAACATTGACCAGTACTCTTTAAAAGCATCAAAGTTATCAAAGTTATTAAAAATGAGGAAACTGAATGACTGTCCCAATTTGGAGGAGACTAAGGGGACACGAGCGCTCAGTTCAATCTGGTACCCTGGATTTGATCCGGAAACAAAGGATGTTGGTGGGAAAACGGGTGAAGGGGAGCCTTCACCTGCAGGGGAGTTAGCAGTGTGCACACGGACCGTGTCCTGAAGTGCAATGTTAACAAGAGGAGAGGCCGGGTGAAAGGTGTTCAGGGACTGTATACCGTCTCTGTAATTCTCTTGTCAATTTAAAATCATTTCAAAATTAAGGTGTTTTTTTTTTTAAAGGCGATGCAAAATGCCTTCCAAATTCTAAGAAAAACTGATAGTTTCCACTCAGCTGAACTAGTGCTTACACGTTAGAGTAGAATGAAGACATTTCAGACATCCTCACATACTCCTTCTCGAGAAGCTATCCAAAGGTAGGATCAATCAAAAGCAAAAACACAGAAAAAGGGAGGAAAGCATGCAAAAAATAGAGGTGTCAACACAATAGAAAAAAAAGATAGGAAAGGAAAATCTTCAAATGCCAGGCAAGGGAGTCTTCAGGCTCCCCTTTTTCAAACATCAAAAAATTAGTGTAGAAGCATGTTATTTAGAAACCTTGGGTAAATATCAAAATAATGAGCTAAGTGTGGTGGTAAGAGATTGCTACCGAGGAGGGAGAAAAGGGGAATGTTAAAGACTGCTCTTTTTTTAAAAATGTTTATTTCTGAGAGAGACAATGTCAGAGGGGGAGATACAGAGAGAGAGAGGGAGACACAGAATCTGAAGCAGGCCCCAGGCTCTGAGCTGTCAGCACAGAGCCTGACACAACACTTGAACCCAGGGACTGTAAGATCATGACCTGAGCCGAAATCAGATGCTCAACCGACTGAGCCACCCAGGAGCCCCATACTATTTTTTTTTTTTAACGAACTTTATAAAAGTATTTAATATTTTGAGTTATGTGCATGTGTATCTTTTTCTAAAAAAATTTAATGTGAAAATAATAGGGTTTATAATGTGTTGTATTTGTTTTTTTTGTTTGTTTGTTTGTTTTTAATGTTTTATTTACTTCTAGGAGAGAGACAGCATGAGTAGGGGAGGGTCAGAGAGAGAGGGAGTCACAGACTCTGAAACAGGCTCCAGGCTCTGAGCTGGCAGTCAGCACAGAGCCCGATGCGGGGCTCGAACCCACGAACCGTGAGATCATGACCTAAGCGAAAGTCAGACGCCTAACCAACTAAGCCACCCAGGCGCCCCTATAATGTGTTGTATTTGTAATCATTAGAATTTTCATCCATCACAAATTTACAAAGCAGAGTAGAAAAACCAATTTGGAAATATAACAATTTGGGTGCCTACCTACGGTTGAATCAATGTATTCTCTTTGTTAAACCTCCCACAGGAAGCACAGTGGAAGATACTAGGGTGTAGCCAGGAAAAGAGATGACCTAGAATGCATATAAAGATTTCTTCAAGCATCTGAAGGAACTCTAAGTTGAAGAATGAATTAACATGTTTGGAAGAGAGTAAAGGCTACACCTCTCTGCTCTTGGGGACCACTGATAAATGAACATGGAGTTTGGCCTCCAAGGGCCTGAAACTAGGGCAGGATTTCTTTACCAAGACAACACTGAGCACAGAGAACCAGAACACAGATCCAAACAGCGAACCATTAGGAAATGCTAAGACTTAAAATCGGGAAAGTATAAACAGCAATACAATTTTTTTCCAGAAAACTAGAGGTGGGCTCAAAATTGGGGTTACTTTAGAGAGAGATTATGGTTGGGTAGAGATTGTATTTGGAGCAAGAGCAGAACAGAATGAAGAAAGGATGCAAAGTGATGATCGCAAAAACAACTTTTGAGAGGTCACTGCTCATATTTATTGACTAATATGTAGAGATGCAAGGCTATATCCCATTGAACTAAAGAGTCAGAAGCAGGTAGCTCAGAATGGACTATAGAAGGGAAAGTCTAGGTTCAAAATAAAAAACAATATAACTGTCAAATTAACAAAAGATAAAATGGGCTACCCTAAAAAATAATGCAATTGCCAGCACTGGAAATGTTCCAGGATGATCAGCAGATGACTTGTTCGTGATATTAGAATCACTAGTTGGCTGGTAGCCATACTGACCACATGCCATTGGATGGCCTTCCCAATCCTGACCTTACATAACTGTTTATATGAGAAAGCCAGTACTAATATCTGTTTATGGACACTCAAGAGTCCATTCAACAGCATAGGATAAAGTTCCATTGGAGGTGATATCACAAAGAAAATAATCTTATGAAATGGACTCTTAACTCTAGTGTTCTTGTAGAAATATTTCACAGTATGACCTGAAGGAAGTGTTTCTGATGAAACAGTCATGACATTTTAGAAGTAACTAAGTTTCAGCATCCCAAATTGCCTTTCCAGCTGGGGTCCAGGGCAGAAGAACAAGCTGTTTCTAAAGCATGATTAACAAACAGTTTGCTTCCAAAGAGAACATGGCTCCTATTCTCACAACAAGGACAATGTGAGGTAATCTATAAATTCATAACTTTTCTTGAGGCCATCAGGGAACTGAAATCATACAGCAACCAGGTAAACAGAATTCCAGAGGGACAGGCCACTCTAGGGAGAGATGGATACACGATCTGTTTAACCTTTGACAGAACACAGGAGAAAGAGGTGGTCATCATACAAATAGGTAATAAGAAATCAGTTAACATTTTTTTAAATGTTAATTTATTTATTTGGAGAGAGAGAGAATCCCAAACAGGCTCTGTGCTGACAGGCATGCAGGGCTCGATCTCACCATCCGTGAGATCATGACCTGAGCCAAAATTAAGAGTTGGACACTTAACCAACTGAGCCACCTAGGTGCCCCAAGTTAAATTTTTTAACAAATTCTTAAAGGTGAAGTATGGGCTATCATGCCAGTTTGGATTACTTAGGAGCCCCAGACACAAAAGAAGAGTTCAAATCCACTCAAAAGCTCTTTCCCATGGACCTCCATCAGATGCCCAGGAGGGAGATTGGCAGCAGGGCAAAAAATTGAAAATATTTTAAACTGAATTAACGTTAACATGGTAACCTAAATCTGTAGGAGGTAGCTCAAGTAATGGTTAGAGGAAATTTTATAGCATTAAATATATATATTATGAAAGCATAAAGGTTTAAAATCAATGACCCAAGTTTCTACCTTAAATCTGAAAATGAGCAAATTAAGTCCAAATTAAGAAAAATTAACTTAACCAAAGACCATGGGGGAAGGAAAAGGGAAACAAATAATTACAAACAGAAAGGGAGGCAAACCATAAGAGACTCTTAAATACAGAGAACAAACTGAAGGTTGATGGTGGGGGTGGGGGAGAGGGGAAAATGGGTGATGGGCATTGAGGAGGGCACTTGTTGGGATGAGCACTGGGTGTTGTATATAAATGATGGACCACAGGAATCTACCCCCAAAACCAAAAGCACACTGCATGTTAACCAGCTTGACAATAAACTATATTTAAAAAAAGAAAGAAAAGAAAATAAAGAAAAATTAAAACAGAAATCATTAAGGTATAAAACAGAAGAAAAAATAATAAGATCAAAAGCTAATTATTTGAATAGATCAATGAAATGGATGAATCTCTATTTAGATTAACCATGAAAAAAAGACATAAATTAATATCATACATGACAGAGGTTACATACATTTGGTACTGATGTTAAAAGAATAAAGGCATGTCAATTTGACAACTTGGAGAAAATGTTTAAAAATCCCTCAGAAGACACAATCTACCAAAGCTCACTCACAAAGAGATGAAGAACAAGAACAGCTTTCTATCTATTAAAAAAATTCAATTGACACTTAAAAACCTTCCCACAAAGAAAAACTTTGATGGCTTACTGGTAAATTCAACAAACAGTTAAGGAAAAAATAATGCTAAATCTCCACAAACTCAGGAAACACAAGCAGAGGGAACAATTGAGCTGCATTACCAC